AAAAACAGAGTGAAAACATTTGTGGGTGTTTTTACTCTGTCCACACCATGCTGCAAGTACAAGTGTGTGTGTTCATGTGTGAGTGTTTATTGGTTTAATAACTTGCAACGTTCCTCACATTGTGAGTCAGAAAATGTTGTGGGTCTTTTTACTTGGCCTTAACTATACAGCAAGTACAATAGTGTCTGTGTATATGTAGTGTAAGTGATTGTGTGTATGTGTTTGTGTGTATGTGTGTAGTGTAAGGGATTGTGTGTACGTGCTCCAGTCCTAACTATGTGGCAAGAGTGAGAATATGTTGTGGTGCTCTTTACTTGGTCCTCGCTATAATACAACTACAAGATGCATATGGTTAGTGTGTGTGTATATTTGTGTGTCTGCTGGGATTTTTTTACTTCCTGCCGCTCGCTCACCAACACAAGTTTTATGAGCATCAGCGCTGTTGACGAGAGAGAATCCAAACGACACTTTAATGTTTCCTGCAACAGCTGAAAGCACACAGATGCTCTCTGCGTTTTACCAAAAATATCAACATGGATGAGGCTGCATCTCACTTTGGATCTATTGATGGATTAAACTTGAAAATTATATGAAATAGGTATGGACACTTTTCACGGAAAAACACTATTCAATATTTACTGGGAATGACTCAATCATTTCTCAAAGACAGCCCTCCGAGTCTCTTTAAAGCAACTAATCAGTTATTTTAGACTTTTGATATGCTAACTTAACCTGGCGCGGTTTGCATTTTCCCTAATTGACGTTATTTATTTTGAACGAGTCACCCCTTTTCCCCCTCTGTCTGAAACCAGAGCCCAGCCTGCTCTGCATGGTTAGCTGGCCAGCTCTGTTGTGATTGGTCAACTGATAACAGATGTACTGCCCCTCATCCTATCACGTACAATGTGTTGGAGCGCTAGCCAATAGAAGCGTGAGTGTTAGAGAGTAATGTTAAATACAGGTACCTCAAAATGTACTTAAGCACAGTCGTTAAGAAAATGTACTTTGTTATATTTGATAGTAATCCAGATAAAACTCAGATGTTTTGAGTATAAAGTAGTTCACGTTAAGTGTGAACTTGTGTCTGAGTCATTCTGCAGATAAAGACAACAACACGGAGAATCAATAGTCTCTGTTGGATCATAAACGCAGCACGGAGGCTAATGACGCATTCAAGGTCATCTGTCAAGCTGTGATAAGGAGAGAACATCTCTGTTGATCCCGTTTAAAGACGGAGATTATCAGGAGATAATGATGATCCTGCTGCACACATAATGTAGCAGTATAACATTGAAATATTTAAAACATCCATACGGTGACAGGTAAAGCTGAAAGTGAGTGAGGCATCTTTATTCGATTTTTCTTTCCTAGTATGTAATATTCATGTATTCATGTATTATTCACCTGGGCTGCAGACAGAACCAGAACGTTAGTTAAAGCAGGCTTATATTGGAGACATACCTATTTTTAAAACAGGCTTATATTGGAGATATACCCATTTCTGAAACAGGCTTATAATAGAACTTAACCTTTTTTTTAAAACACATAAAATAGTTTGAAAACACTTTTGTATCTCTCAAATGCTGTCAATAGTCATTTATACACGGATCAGTTGAGTACTCAATTCTGATTGGTCAACTTTGACATTGCAGAGGTTGTTAATTCTAACAGTGTTGCTAAGGAGATGAGACCGTTGCTAAGGAGAACAGACCGTTGCTAAGGAGAACAGTCTGATGCTAAGGAGAACAGACCGTTGTTAAGGAGAACAGACCGTTGCTAAGGAGAACAGACCGTTGCTAAGGAGAATAGCCTGATGCCAAGGAGAACAGACCATTGTTAAGGAGAACAGACCGTTTCTAAGGATAACAGACCATTGCTAAGGAGAACAGACCGTTGCTAAGGAGAACAGACCAATGCTAAGGAGAACATACCGTTGTTAAGGAGAACAGACCAATGCTAAGGAGAACATACCGTTGTTAAGGAGAACAGACCGTTGCTAATGTAACTTAACCTGCAATTTCTGTCTAATGTCCGTTGTTTCCTTGAATCTTTTCTTAGTTTAATTATTTACTCCTTATGGAAGAGGATTAAAGCCACATGGGAATTCGTTTTTTCGTTGTGAGATTAAAGTCAGAATTATGAAAAAAGTCTGACTAGAATCTCCAAAATTCCTACAATAAAGTGAGAACAAAATTAGAAAAAGGCCGGATTCTTTTTACTCAATTTAGTTTTTTCTGACACTCTGCAAACAAACAACAGTGAAATCGGTATTGGGGAGAAATCAAAATAAATGTCACGAGGCCCTAATCCTCTTCCGTAATTCCTCTTACTTTCTCTATTTATCTAAAATATGTCTGTGTTTGTGCTGCTTTAAACAACCTGAATTTCCTGTCTGGAGATCAAAACGTTTTTTTTTTTATTATCCTTAATTAATGCGAAAAATATGCAGGAAGTTTTGAGTTTCATTAGTAGAGATGGTAAAAAATAACAGGCTGTAGTGGAAACAGATCCAAACACGTCCGCCTGTCATTCACCACTTTGACTTTCCCAGCACTCAAAGACGAGCGATTTTCTGCCAAAGTATCTTCCAGAGGAGACGAAATTATCAGCCGCAAACACGAGCCACGAGATGGATCCCAGTAAATGAAGCGAGCGGCGGACCATCTGTTTGTCTTAATGAAAACTTGTGGAATTATTCCTGCCGAGAACACACCATCATTAGGGTCATTCATCTTGTTCAGATCATCAGGTTTTTCTGCAGGTAGTGAAGTGAAAAGTGTTCTTCCATTCCAAAATAACTCATTGTGCATTGAAAACAACTGAATATATTTACATGTAATGCTTTTCCTCAGAAGTATTTTCAGCCAACAAATGAATGCATGTTGTCGTTCATTTGAAGATAAATGGAATTTGGCAAAAACTGAGAGAAATTAAATATATAAATTAGTTAGTTTGAATATGTAAGCGGTATTTTTTTTTTCTACTTCAATCAGTTACGGAGATGCAGTCAGACTATTGAAGGTACATTAGACATTTGAAAAGTTAAAAGGGCCCTATTCTGTTTTTTCAGGGTTTTCATTTTCCTGTAGTGTGTAATTTAGGGTTAGGAAACTTGTTTACTTCCGGAACATAGTGACATCACTATGGAACACTCGCGCTCCTATTGGCTAGCGCTTCAACACAACGTACGTGATAGACTAAGGGTCGGGACATCTCTAAGTGGTTGACCAATCACAGCAGAGCCGGCCAGCTAACCAATCAGAGCAGACTGGGCTCTGGTTTCAGACAGAGGGTGAAAAGAGGTGCTGCAGCACAGGCAGTATGAGAAAAATATAGATATTTTTGAACATTACATTTAATAATGTTTGACCAAAACCCCAAGGTGTACTAAACATCTTGTAATGCATCTCAGTCTTCATTTACATTTATTAATCCAGGAGCATATACAAGCAAACAGTTTGAATGGTTCCCCACAATGGCGCCTTCAGGGCTCTATAGCTGCATAAACACTAATTAGTAATCAGGTTTTTAGGGAAATGTTTTTGTGTTTGAGTTGCTGAATTAGTGATCACATTAAGTACACAAAATCAGTCAATTGTAAGGATTGGAATGAGTTCACTGAAACATATTAAAAACTTCCAGTGCAGTCTTCTTATAAACCGTTCTGTTTACATGCCGTGTCCTTGAGGTCGAATAAACACGTTGAATGTGTTTCTTTCCTCAGAAAACATTTATTATTTTCATTTCCATTTGCAATTTTCGCATTTATTGTCCCATTGCTGTGATTCTTAGCACGTTACCATAACAACTGTAACCCAACAGAATACTGGGAAAACATTGTAAAGTCGGTGTGCATGAAAAACTTACTGCAGTACTTTCAGATCAGACTCACAGATAAGGTGATTTTTTGTATATGTGTGTGTGTGTTAGTTCTGTCTTTCAAGTACAAAAAAGACATGAAAAAAGGCGGTTCATCAACTAATGCAGATGATTGTTAAAGATGGCGTCCTACCATTAATACCACACACACGATTCATGTCATTTTCCTGTAAAAATAAATACTCCTTTTTGTGAGTATTTTTGAGTAATTGTGAGTATTTTGTTTCTACTTTCTACTTTTTGTGACAATTTTTATGAGTATTTGTGAGTATTTTCTTTCCACATACGTAGTCTATGGCAACTATTGGCCGAAAACTAAACTAAATTAAAGTAAAATATAATTGGCCAGTATTAGTTATTAGAGTGCTTATGTTATACAAACATGATTATCAGCAAGCCAGATTTACTTCCTTATGATGTCTAGAAGAGACATGACCGAAAAAAGTCATCGTTGAGCACGACATTTCAGATGTCAATAATGCACTTTTTACGCTTTGACTACATGTAATCGCTTTATTGACTCTGCAGATTGAGATTTTGAACACGAAGTACATTACAAAAAAAAAGACATGACGGATTATTGTAGGTTACAATGAAACATACTTGATCCCAAGAGCTAGAAGTAATACAACTTAGCTCCACATAAAGATTCAATAATAACTGTGTGTTATTCTAGAAGTGGCTATTGTGTTTTTTTTTACTTTTTGTAATCGCTAACTTTATAAAGCTTTGGAGAGGCCAACAACAACGTTATGCCACTGTGAAAGGATTCCGTTTTTAACACTTGGTTGTCCTAGCATCTCCTTTTATCATTTGAATATAATTTGGCTGTAAAGAAATTACAGTAAATATGTTCAAAAGAAGAATGAAAGATGGCAGCCATGACTCTATCTGAATCTCATGAACCCTGTCACTAACCCCTCCTCTCAATGTAAATACTGCTATATTTTACTATATTTTTTTATGTTATTATAGTTTTCTTAAAATAGTTTTCTATCTGTGTTTTTAATTTTTGTTTGACTTTTATGTATGCACCACGACACCAAGTCAAATTCCTCGTACGTGTCAACCTACCTGGTAATAAACCTGATTCTGATTCTGATCCTCTGGTTCCTCCTCAGATGTACATCCAGACGGCCACGCTGACGGTGTCGCTCAGCCTGAGCGCCTCCGTCTCTCTGGGAATGCTCTACATGCCGAAGGTCTACATCATCATCCTCCACCCCGAGCAGAACGTCCCGAAACGCAAACGCAGCTTCAAGGCCATCGTCACCGCCGCCACCATGACCACTAAACTGTCCCACCTGGCACACGAGCGGCCCAACGGAGAGGTGAAGACGGAGCTGTGCGAGGGCGTGGAGGCCAGCGGTGAGTTTATGGGCGGATAGGATTCATGAAAATGTTCAAATGTTGTGTGGTACAGGTAATCTGATTGGGTGAATTCTGGTATTCTGGTTTAATGCTTTAGCACTAGTGACATACAGTATTAAACAATAAGTGAGTGGGTCGGTGAGTTATTTTTGCAAGCCGACCCGGAAGTTAGCATCTCCCTGGTTCCCTGGACAGGAAGTCAATGGGATTTTTCCATTGGATTTCGGATTATTGCTAATGCTGGGCTATACAGTACAGTAAGGGAACTGCAACTCGGTCACATGACTTCACGTCACGTCTGCTAAGCTAAAGCGGCTAACGTTGGGCATGATAACGTTTAGTCGTCTCATTTAGACACTTCTTAGAAACCACCTGTTTTTAAATATTTACTGACATATTTTATGTTTAAAAATAGAAATCTCCATTGACTTAACTTCCGGTGCCCAGATAAGGGAACTAAAATGCTAATTAAAATACACTTTAAATTGTGATTACGACAAAAAAAAAAATTCTGACAATATGACTGAAGAGACTTTAATTTGCTGGACTTTTACGTTCAAACTCTGGTAAATACCTGCTAACAGAAACCCTGCCGTAAATCTTCCAAAAAAGATGTACCTACAGTTAATGTGGTATTGCCTCTTTATACTACCGTAGAACCATTTACAATGAAGCGGCAGGTACTGATGAATCAAATGGACTTACGATAGTGAAAACCGTTAATTATTTAGTTTGGAAGTAGAAGAAGTGTGTCAGTTCTCTGTTTAGTCAATCTTAGAGGTGTAGTCAGCCTCTCTGCAGTAATGAGGCTTTAACAGGAAGTTGACTTGAGTTTGTTTAGACGTCACCTGAGACCAGATCTGATGAAACTGTTTACAGCTCTGAGTTGCACATCAAAGCTCTCGGTCCATCAGCAGAAAAGTTTGAGGCGTCCGGATTGTTTACCCGTCAGAGATGTGCTGACTGAACTGATCTGCTCAATCTAACAAGCAGCCGCTCTCACATCAGGCTTCCCCATCTCAACTTTACACAACAGACAAGTTTCCTGATCCTCTTTCGTTCTGTTCAGTGTGAGGCGAGGAAGTCACAGAGTTTAGGTGCTGAAAAACTACATCTGATGAAACCGACAAACTTGTGTGACTCATTTGGTCCAACACATCTCAACAGCTGATGATAATATGAACATTAATGTGAAAATTAGACGACATAGTTAAACTTAGCGAGAAACTCAACATAGTTTGTGTCCTATTTGAAACCAATTGTCAACGGTTGACTTATTTATGAACATGTTAATTTACGAACATGTTATTTTACATAAAAGAGATACCTATTTGAACCCAAACCATATTTGTTTCCTAAATCTAACCAAACAGTTTTGTTATTGAGTATTAAATGCGGAGACATCAAGCGCAAAATATCCTTAAAAGTGGTTTGCTTTTTTACCCCTGAACATTAAACCCCGTTAAATATGCATGATCCCCAGAGGATAAATCCTATTTTGTTTATGTCAAACTTACCTTTCCTGTAGCTCCACCCATCATACTTTTGTCAAACTATATCAACTAATGTCTGACATGCCAGAAATCCCCCATATTATCCAACAAAAGAACCATTGAAGTTGGGCCAGGACGATACATTTGGTGTTGAGATTCACCTCGAAGTTAACGTCAGATATCAATCGATCTGACAGAAATATGTCCTGATCCTAAAATTAGTCTGGGGCTAAGTGTATGCCTAGCTTTACAGAAACGTCAAACACCCTCATGATGAGTTATTCTAAGAGCCTTACCATTAGTGGAGCTAAAATGGAAATAGGGTGGCGAGACACCTTTTACGAATCGTTAACGCTAATGGACGTTTTGCTGCCTAGCAGATCTACTCTTTATAATAGTGAGTGAGGCTAAAGTGGTGCAAGAATGAAACCCGTAATGAGTTAGCATTTTAGCACTTCTGGATACACTGGAAGTATGGAAGTCAATGGTTTCTTGAATGTGTTTTTTGGTAAGATGCCTGAATAAGAACTGAAGAGATCTTCACGGTTTCTATTTTGTACAACAATACCCGACTGGTTTATTTCTGAAGCTCCCACATTTTTCTTTAAATGGCGGTTGCTAACAAGTGTTAATGAAACGACTAAATGTCATCATGCCCAAAGTTAGCCGCCTTTAGCCTAGCGGTGGTGACGGGAAGTCATGTGACCGTGTTGTAGTTCCTTTATAGCCCAACATTAGCCACCTTTAGCTTAGCGGTGGGGACGTGAAGTCATGTGACCGTGCTGTAGTTCCTTTATAGCCCAACATTAGCCACCTTTAGCTTAGCGGTGTTGGCGTGAAGTCATGTGACCGTGCTGTAGTTCCTTTATAGCCCAACATTAGCCTCCTTTAGCTTAGCGGAGGTGACGTGAAGTCATGTGACCGTGCTGTAGTTCCTTTATAGCCCAACATTAGCCACCTTTAGCTTAGTGGTGTTGACGTGAAGTCATGTGACCGTGCTGTAGTTCCTTTATAGCCCAACATTAGCCACCTTTAGCTTAGCGGTGGTGACGTGAAGTCATGTGACCGTGCTGTAGTTCCTTTATAGCCCAACATTAGCCGCCTTTAGCTTAGCGGTGTTGATGTGAAGTCATGTGACCGTGCTGTAGTTCCTTTATAGCCCAACATTAGCCGCCCTTAGCTTAGCGGTGTTGATGTGAAGTCATGTGACCGTGCTGTAGTTCCTTTATAGCCTAACGTTAGTTTTTTCCTTCAGAAATCATAAAGTGGTGTTAATTTGTGGAGATTATCGTGCTGAACAAAACTTGAGTGTCATAAAATTGTATATTTAGCTATAAGCCAAAATCAAATGGAAAAATCCAGGAAAAGGAGCCGTGCAATGCTAACTTCTGGGTTGAACTACAAAAAGATGTCTTCCCTGAAACTCTCTATTCATTTGTTGTCTTCCTCTGATCAAAAATAACCCTCTGAACCCAGTCTAACACACAGGGGACAGTAGGTAAGGGAAAATGTCACTTTACTAATTAGTTTGCTTTTCTCTCCTCAGCACCGCCAGCGAAAACAACCTACGTTAGCTACACCAACCACGCCATGTGAATCAACGACTCCTTCAACTCGAGGACGTCCCGGGACTTTTAAAGAAGCAGATTTCTGTCACCACGAGGTGGTCTGAACACTCTGAAGGAACCAAACAAACCAAGACATCTGTGGTGTTTTTATGTTTACAGACTGCAGGGAACAGGCCTGAACGCCGCCCAAAAACTTGTTAGGATGAAAAGCTGAAAAAGCATCCGAATTTTCGCCAGGAAGTAAGAAGGAGGGTTACCTGAAAGCCTAAAAAAAAGAAATCCTAAAAGAAGTACAAAAAAGAAATTGTGGGGACCAAACATAATTGTTGTTATTCTAATTGTGCGTTAAAAAAAAAAAGTGAAAAAACTTGTGGTTGTGAACATTTCTGATTCTTGTCTCCTGTCGTCTCTGTCGACCTGCATTATGAGAAGAGTCCGTCGATGTTTCCGGAAAACTGGACGGTAGCTTTTGGTTGTGAAATGTCTAAATGCCATGGTTGAATTGAAGCATGCCCGTTTTTTATACAAATGATCTATTTATAATAAAGGAATGTTTCACAAGTGGGTGCCATGTTTCGGTCTGTTTAAGGGATGCACAGATTTAAAATAAATATACATTACAGTTTTGAATTACCACTCAGACGTCTGATCAGTAGGACCCACGGGCCTATCAGAAAGTTGCTATCAGAAACAATGCCTGACTGTTTTGGACGTAATATGGTCGGTGTTTACATTAGCATCGCTAACACTCAGAGCTAACCTGTACTGGAGAGCATGTGTGTGAAGAAGCAGGAAATAAAAAGGAACTCACCTTGTGGTATAACCGGCAAGAGAGAAAGCCTTTGAGCTCCATACTGTTTCAGAAATAATCCTTGATAATCCATGATATGGCATTTCATCACGGCAGTATTTAGTTTAGACAGTAGCTGCCGGGTCCCGCATGAGCTCAGACCCCTCCTTTTTTAATTATTTATCAATTTATTTATAAAGCTCTATACCCTAAATCAGCACTTTTGAAACAGGAAGTGAAATAGAGGGATATGAGGCATGGCTAGAATGGGTGATCTGTTTGGTATTTTGAGCAAAACACTTCATAGACATGTTTTTTATATATTTGTATATATCTGAGACCTATGCTATTGCCTAAAAATAGCATGATTGGTGACCTTTAAGATAAATGTCCAGTAAAAGATGAAATTAAATAAAAATATTTATATAGACATAAGAACTCAAACTCAAATGTCAAATAAAAGTTCAAATATAATCAAAATACTTATATAAAAAAATAAAAAAAATGTCCAATAATTAATATTGTTATATTAACATAAAAAGTTAAGTTAATTATGCACATTATACTGCATTATGTAACAGCTGATTAATGCTGACCTGCTGTTATAGAAGCTGCTCTGCAGTAAATAGAGAAGGTACAAATAGCTCCACTTAACAGATGCTACATAAAAGTATTGAACACATTAATGCATCACTAATTAAAATCCAATACCATAATAAACAAGCAGGAACGACCCATTATGCATAATTAATACTTTCCCTCTGCAGAGGATATAAAAAAAACTCCCTCCACACTGAATCTGACCTTTAACATCTCTCAGTGTGTGCCTCGTTACAGACTTTAAAAAAAAAAGACAGTCGATGTGATCGATACGTGGTGAGGAACCGGAGAGGTCGAATCGATACCTGCTGCCACGGAGAACTCCCCATGCATGTAATGAATATTTCTGCATCTGCTGGCAGAGAGGAAGAGGAAGGTGGAGCTGAGTGATGAAGCCTCGAGGCGTCCTGCTTTTATTTCCCCCGACGACGCTCTCATTTCCTCTCCAAACAGGAAGAACAGAAGCTCTGTCTTCACACTGAAATAAAAGCTGGAGATTAAACGGCTTCATCGGAGTCTCTCGGATGGTTTCTGATTTGTTGTCTCTTCTGTTTGATCAGGTGTTTGCCGTCCAGCTGTAACACTTTAACAGCCCTCAGGTAAGAGAGTGTATTTATATTTATGTCCATACACACACGGTTTTATATTGTTCCTCTGTCAGTAATAATGTGTCCTGGCGTCAAGTGAATATAAGAAATCAACAGCGGTGGAAGAAAACAAAGAACATTCACTGAAGTACATTTCGTATTTAACTAGAGTATTTCCATTTTTATGTTTTCCACTAGATTTCAGATGTTAATGATGTTCTTGTTACACTTTGACCACATGTATTTTATAGCTTTATTTACCAGCGAAAACAACCTACGTTAGCTACACCAACCACGCCATGTGAACGACTCCTTAAGCTCGAGGACGTCCCGGGACTTTTAAAGAAGCAGATTTCGGTCACCACGAGGTGCTCTGAACTCTCTGGAGGAACCAAACAAACCAACCAAACAAACCAAGGTGAAAAGCATCCCAGTTTTAGCCACACAGATTCAGATTATGAATACAAAATACTCTGAATGATGATGTTACAGGTTACCATAAAACCTAATTGATCCCAAGAGCTAGAAGTAATAAAACTTAGCTCCACATTTACAAACTGCAACAATAAAGATTCAATAATAAGTGTGTGTTATTCTAGAAGCGGCCATTATGTATTTGGCTTATAAAATATGTAGCTAATGCTCAGGTAACCCAATCAAAAATCGCAAAGTGCGAGCAAATCTGATCGGGGGTGCAAATCGTCTGTCTCCCCGCTGTTTCAACCTCGACCTCGGGACCACATGAGGAATCTGTCAGCAGACTTCAGTGAGGTCATTACTGCTCCTCAGATATGAGTGAAATTGTTCATGTGCTGGGACACTCTAATGGCAAATATCTGATTGAATAAAAGAGTGTATTCTGCGCAGAAACGTCTTGATTCCTGCTGTCTCCCCCCCTGCTGATTCCAGACTCACATGTGACAGATGTTTCAGCCGTATTGATCTTCTGATCCAACTCAAACCCAAAATGTTGAACTCCTTTTAACTTCCCAAACGAACCTCCAGTCGAAAAAAGGACAGCATGAGGAGAGCCCGGCCTCCGACAGACGGGTTAATGAGGTGATTATTGCTGATGCACATTTCAGATGAAGGAGCAGCTGATAGATACTGACATCGTGTCCCAAAGCGGCCCATTAACTGCTGTCTGTCCTACTTCACTGTTTCTCTGATTGAACACATCACTCTGAGTCTACATTTTACTAATTTGTGACGGAAATATGTTCAATATTAAATATGTTGTGTCCCTTAAAGCTCATAATTGTATAATTTTAAGAAAGAGACAGGAGTTTCTGAGATGGAAGTGAAACCACAACATGTTATTTTGCTAATTCTTAAGTATTCACAGATATGAAATAACTTAAATCATTTCATGCCAGTGTATATTTTACCAGTCCTTCTGTATGGTGTTTAAAGAGGCCATATTGTGCTTTTTGGGCATAATAAACACTTGCGCTTCTATTAGCTAGCACTCCAACACATTGTACGTGATATGCTAAGGAGCGGGACATCTCTAAGCAGTTGACCAATCATATCAGAGTCGGCCAGCTAACCAATCAGAGCAGACTGGGCTCTGGTTTCAGACAGAGGGTGAAAAGAGGTGCTGCAGCACAGACAGTATGAGACATGTCCCAGTAGAGACACTACATACTGATATACACCTGAACATCAGCAGGAGAGGACTCTTTAAAGTAGAGACACTACATACTGATATACACCTGAACATCAGCAGGAGAGGACTCTTTAAAGTAGAGACACTACATACTGATATACACCTGAACATCAGCAGGAGAGGACTCTTTAAAGTAGAGACACTACATACTGATATACACCTGAACATCAGCAGGAGAGTACTCTTTAAAGTAGAGACACTACATACTGATATACACCTGAACATCAGCAAGAGAGGACTCTTTAAAGTAGAGACACTACTTACTGATATACACCTGAACATCAGCAGGAGAGGACTCTTTAAAGTAGAGACACTACATACTGATATACACCTGAACATCAGCAGGAGAGGACTCTTTAAAGTAGAGACACTACTTACTGATATACACCTGAACATCAGCAGGAGAGGACTCTTTAAAGTAGAGACACTACATACTGATATACACCTGAACATCAGCAGGAGAGTACTCTTTAAAGTAGAGACACTACATACTGATATACACCTGAACATCAGCAAGAGAGGACTCTTTAAAGTAGAGACACTACATACTGATATACACCTGAACATCAGCAGGAGAGGACTCTTTAAAGTAGAGACACTACATACTGATATTCACCTGAACATCAGCAGGAGAGGACTCTTTAAAGTAGAGACACTACATACTGATATACACCTGAACATCAGCAGGAGAGGACTCTTTAAAGTAGAGACACTACATACTGATATACACCTGAACATCAGCAGGAGAGGACTCTTTAAAGTAGAGACACTACATACTGATATACACCTGAACATCAGCAGGAGAGGACTCTTTAAAGGAGAGACTCTACATACTGATATACACCTGAACATCAGCAGGAGAGGACTCTTTAAAGTAGAGACACTACATACTGATATACACCTGAACATCAGCAGGAGAGGACTCTTTAAAGGAGAGACACTACATACTGATATACACCTGAACATCAGCAGGAGAGGACTCTTTAAAGTAGAGACACTACATACTGATATACACCTGAACATCAGCAGGAGAGGACTCTTTAAAGTAGAGACACTACATACGGATATGAACCTGAAAATGAGCACGATAGGGCCCCTTTGGTTTGGAAACGTTGAAATATGTAGTCTGTATTTTTACCTCTTTGCCTGAATATTTACTTTGAAAGGCTCAGAGGTCGATTTTCAGGTTACATTAGTGGTTTGTTCGGTGAATTGGGACTCATTTGTTGGTGACCTCTAACCCCCACTGCTCTGAAATACAAGGAGCCAATAATGCCTCAACATGGAAAACAAAGATGGACATCTGAGGAAGATAATGAACGAGATACATCAATATTAGGTCTGAAAATGTATTTCTATTTACAGTGACATATACTTTTGTTTTCAAATCATAAGATCAAATCTTTATAAATGAAATATTTTTTGAATAAATATCTGGAAAACTGAACTTCTTAACAGAAAGATAAATTAATTCTTCATCATCGTGCCAGATAATTACAAATATGTCACCTCAGGCGTGGTTTGACAGTAAAACATAAAAAAAGAGAAACAAGCCGGCTAAAAACATTAAGGTTTAAATTTAAATGTAACTCATTATCATCCCAGCCATCTGTCACATATAACACAGGATATGTTTTCATTCTCTCTCCAGCTGCTGTTTGTATAATACATATACAGACAGTGTGTCAGAAATCCATCCAATAATCAATAATAATATTTATAATTATTTCGTGTTGGGAAGAGAAATATGACAGACGGAGTGAGTTTGTTTCCTCGGAGGAAGAATGAGTCGAGGGTTGGCAGGAGATTTTATTTATGAAGCGACTGCCAGGAAGTCCTTCACTGCCAAAATAATAAATACTCAACAAAAGGAAAATTTAATTCTGCCCACTGAGGT